GAAAAGTATGCTAATAGTTTCGTAGAATAATTTCATTCATTTATAAAAATATGTGTTTATAGTACATATTATAGATATTTTTAGTTAAAATTTACGAAATAATTGTCTTTTCTATTTAGTAAATTTAATATAGTCTGCATCTTCATCACAAACGTATAATAAAACTGTAGCATATACAGTGAATGTAAAATGATGGTGTTTAAGGATGAAAAGTCGTAAGTGGTATTTAAAAATGCTAATTAAAACTGTATATCCACTTAATAACATACTTTTTTATATGGATAAATTGAAAAGAGCAATGGCTTGCCATTATTTATGTTGCAATCGGTTGGTTAACAGAGAATACCCTGCTATATAGGTTTCATTCTGTGCTGTGTAATTCACTCTCTTTTTTTAATTGCTTCGGATTTTATTCTATATGGGATATAATAGAATTGAATTAGAATGAGTAATTGAGAAATTGAGAATTGTTGTAAGAAAAACAATTCAATTACTGTCTTGCGAATTTACATGCACATAGACAGAGAGAGTGCGAATTTACATATTTCTCTGTACGTGACTTGATAACTACGCTCAATTACATAATCCCATTTTCCTGCTCGTTTATTAAATAGCGTGCATATACATATAATTTTATGTATCTGTGGTAGCTCGTTGTTGGCTATGTCGAGCAAATCCAACCAAATCCGTCGTTGATTTATGGACACGCATGTATAACTTAATCCTAAGTACATTTGACAGTAAATCACTGCCAAATAATTATGCAAAAAATAACAAATATACAAAGAACTGCGGTGCTTGATGGTAAATGAATATTCCGTCAAATGTGACATAAAATTGATGGAGAAACCAACGTAATTGATTGCAATTTTAGAAGTCAACAAGTTTTTGATTAATGAAATTATAATTGTCTAAATGCAGCTGTATATATTGAATAATTGCACTTTTATCTTCACTTATTGATTTCAATTTTTACATAATTCATTTAGACCAAATACTTAGAAGAATATCTAATCGATTTCAGAAGTATAAAAACATAAAAATGTATGTAATAAAAAAAAATATGAAATAAATGTATTTTTCTTTTCATTTCTAAAGGAAATAATAAACAAACCAGTTCACAAAATATGCATAATACATTTTTATATAAGAAGCAAATTCGCAGACGGGGAAATAATAAATCGTTTTCGTGAGATGAATCATTTCCTTAAAAAAAAGAATTTTAATACATGTTTCTAATACAAAATAGAAGTGTAGTTTGTTTTTTAAATTGAATATTTAAATTTCATTCAGAGAATGTTTTAAAATAAATTAAAAAATTAACATTTGACGCAATATTTAATATACATATTAAAAATTTAGGAAAGACAATTAATTATTTCAAATTAGTTATAGCAAACATATTTATATGTTAAGTAAGTAAAAAAATAATAAATTTTTTTTCCATATTAATTCAAATCCATAAAACATCTTTGAATTAATTTATATTTTGATTTAACAATTCACTCAATAAGTACGTAGGATGTCATATACATGAAGCCTCTATCGAAAACAATTGAAAAAATTGAATTTCGTGTATTGATGAAATAATGATTTTTGATGGAAAAAATACCGTTCAAGCAAAGCAATGACTTGATAAATGTTATGTGGACTCTTCTCCGTCGAGACAAATGGTAGCGAATGGTTTGCTGATTTTAAACGACACAAATGATATTGAACGCTCGTTCGTCCAAATTCGGCAATTGTTGCAGAAAACATAAAAAAGACCACAAAATGGTTTTGGCCGATCGTAAATTGATGTTGCGTGAGATAGTTGACACCCTAATCGATGTTAGGAGCTGTTCAAGCGAAATAAAAAGGATTTTTCATGCGATTTGTAATAATGGATGAAACCTAATTCCACCACTACATTCAAGCGTCAAATTGGTCACCAGCTGAGTAGACAGCAAAGGGTGAAAGCCGTATTTTGGTAATGGATAATTTTACACATAAATTAATCTTTAAAAAATGTATTTATTTTTTAAGTTTTATTATGCAGTAGTTAAATGCTTTTCTGAAGGAATATAATCCTTAAATTGATTTCGATAATTCGGAAAAGTGGGAAGCGGGACGAATAATTTTCATGACTGTCGGAAAGAGTCCTTGAACCAATTGTGGCCGGTTTGACGTTTCTAGAAGAAATCGATTTATGATTGAACAAGAAGTGATGGTGTATGGAAAGTTAGTATCTATTTTTTCTTAAGGTGATTGTTTATTATCTTTATAGTAATATAATAATATTGCTTTTCATAAAACAATTTCAATCATTTCTATTTAGAGTTACTGAAAATTGACTACCTTAGATTATTTAAAAAATTAAATACAAATAATATGTTTTTTTTATTTATATATATATTAAAATATATTTTTTTTAAATACAATTTTGAAATGTAAAAGCAGAAATAAATGATAAACATGATTCTTCCTTCAAGGTCTGAAGCATTAAACTTCAATTACGTTGAAGTCGTAGAACACCATCCATAATGATTCCTCTTTATATATTTATTTATTTCTCGTTTTCCCCTCGGCAATTACTAAGACGTGATGAGGGCCATTGAACCCCGCACCTTGGCTTTTTATAATATATTAAAATTACACATCCTCGTTCTCTGCCATCTACAATTTATGCCGTTTAACACATTTGCGTACATCACGATTTTAAACGACTGAAGAAAATCAAACAACGTATTTTTTTTCACAATTTAGTTGAACTTCATTATTTTCCACCAATACAGTTTCCTTAAACTTATTTTAATTCTGTTTGACCTATTGTCTTTTCCTTGCTCATTCCAAAACATGACATCGATTTAGTTTACTACGATTATCTTTCAAGTGACATCATTGGTAAATGTGTTATTGGACTGTAGTTATAAAGACGTTTTAAAGAGACCAAATTAAACTTATTTATTACAATAATAACCAAAGAAAACATCATTTTTATCAAAAAAAAAAAATGAAATTGTAAGTTTATATAATGCTTTTAATTAGAATTATTAAATTTCTCGGTAACAATTTTGAAATGAAAAGTTTTTAAATCATGCCTATCAATAGAATATATCGAGAGATGCAATCATTTATATTCCGTAATAGCTGCTGTAATTTGTTACGATTTGTAAAAACAAATATATAATTATTCCCCTTCCAATCTGTAAGTATTGAATCTCAAGCGCACAAAAATTACTATTATTATTAAATCGTTATAGTCGCACGACAAAGTAAGAATATTTTTATTTCATTAATAATTATCTATTTTATTGCAATGAATAAGGATATGCGCTAATGCAATCTTTCAATTATTATATGTTTAATATAAAAAAATGTGCTTCAATAAATGAACACTTTATAATAATTGTATTCAATAATTTGTTTTGAAATTATGATGAATAAACCAATACAATAATGAAAATTTCAACAATTTTTTTAAGCATTTTATCTTCGAAATGGTAATAAATAATTTATCAGAAATTATTCGCATAATACTACTAATTATATAGTAATGTACACTATTGAAATTTGTTGATGTAGGGAATTAAATATAAGAATTCTATTGTATTTATTATAAGCTGGTAAAGTGTGTATAGAAAGATAGAGTATAATTAGAATCATATTTAATCATAAACATAAAGTTGAAAAACCGTGGTAATCATCCATGCGAGTAGTTTTTGCGGTCAAGTTTTTACTTTGATTACTTAGTAATAATACAATAGATAAGTTGTTAATAATAAAAAAAACTACATGCAGGTATGTCTTGTATTTTTTTATTAAATACCATATAGTTCAGTAACACTGACATTTGTTTTCTTTAAATTCCTCATATATCATTTGCATTTTTTTTAATTGAATCTATTTATTCCATATGCCTTCTTATAACATTTAAGTGATTAAATATTAATTGGTACTAATGGCAGTAAATTTCTAATGGTATGTATAATTGGATTTTTCTATTATGTTGTATAATGTAAATGAAGAGAAATTTTGGAATGGTAACATTCAATTTAATTGGCCAAACCTATATTCGTTGTAATTTTTTTTCTCACTCACCGTATGTATTTGTAACAGATGGATTGCAAAACATTCCTAAATTTACATATACATATTTTTTCTTCAAATATTTAAACCTAATCAGCACCTCAATATCTATAGATCACTATCGACTTTTATTATTTTTTTCTACAATATGAACGAGATTATATTTTTTAATAGAATGGGAATGAAGGGGCCGACGTTATTTCTTATTGAATTTCGAAACTCTTACAAGTTTCTTATATCTTAATAATGATATAATGATAATGTTTACTTGAAAAATGAAGATTTATAATTCGAAAGTCTCTTCGATATTTCAAACGGTTGCTTCCACAAGACTACGAAAATTTAAAAAAAACGTCGTTTGTGGCATTTTCATATTTGCATATACATATTTTCCAAAGGTCCAACTTCTTATTTATTATTGTCTTTGCCATTTGTTGTATTTATGTTGGAATACTATAAGACAGGGGTCCCCAACCTTTTTGCATCCAAGTGCACATTCTAGAATGCCGGTCGGGCACACAGCAGCGGGCACACGTAAAAGGTCGGCGTGCGCCATAGTACCCGCGGGCATAGGGTTGGAGACCCCTGCTGTAGGACATGTGATGTTTCTTGTCGTTCTCTTGTTTTGAATATAGAAATGCGAAACTTGTTTATTATAAAAAAAAATATATTCATAACAATAAAAAGAAATTAAATGAAAGTGTTAGTTTAAATTTGCTTTCTTTGTCTGGAGTATTGTACTGCTCCTTATTATTAAAGCGAAATTTCGACACTTTCTGCTTCAGACACAAACAATGGCTTACTTGCTTCCAAGCAAGAACTTGTAATTAGTGAGTGGGACCATTAATTCTAGCTAAGCAACAATGCATGCTATTTTTATTATTCTTCTTCTTCCGAATAAAAAATATTTAAGTGTGGGTTTGATTTTTCAGATAGTCATCTAATCAGGAGGGCTCCGCCGGCGTACGCAGATGGAGTTTACATGCTTGCAGGCCAGAACCGGCCCAGTCCCAGGAAGTTAAGTAGGTTGTTCATGAAGGGCATCGATGGTCTCAGCTCCATGCACAACAGGACCGCTCTGTTGGCCTTCTTCGGCCAATTGGTCACCTCGGAGATTGTGATGGCCAGCGAGAGTGGGTGTCCCATCGAGATGCATCACATCGAAATTGAAAAATGCGACGAGATCTACGACAAGGAGTGCAGGGGTGACAAGTACATTCCGTTCCATCGTGCCAGCTACGATAGGAACACTGGACAGAGTCCCAACAGTCCCAGAGAGCAGGTAATGAGAAAATCCCCGCTCAATCCGGATTAACTGTAACGGTGATCAATCAGTGGTCCGCTTACTAATTGAAATGCAAAGGGGTTTTAATTAATTGGAAGGTCGATCAATGAGTACATGTGTGCGTGTGCGTTAAGAAAAAAATGCATGCACTAAATCCGCACAAGCTGTTCAATATTTACAAATCCTGGTATTTTATTTTCGCCGCAAAATATCGGATACATAGGATTTGTCGCAAGGCTAATTCGCAACGGTCGAATCTCTCCTTGGAAATGGGGCAGGATGCCGACAAGGTTTATTATTATGGCTACAGCTTTCTATCCTGCACGCGCGAGATTGAGATATCAAAGGAAACAGCCGTTGCAAAATTCTAATGAATCCGAAAACAGGAACAAGACCTGTACGAATTGTTGACGAAGTCCGAAAACTAGTAAATTCCTTGTTGCGCTAAAAACAGAGCAGTTTATCTATGTACCCGAAAAAAGATTCAGTCATGTTTCCTTGATATTCTTGTATTTTGCATATTTCCTTTAAAACTCACTCGGTTCGCTGCATATACAGTATCATCTAATTAGCAATTATTAATTTTATAAAGTTTAAACCGCACATCTTCATTGCATTCTCTCAATCAATTAATATTTTCTTTAGCTAAAAGTCAATCTATAAATAAGCCAAGTAAGAATCTCTGTAGCACTCGTTGCTGGCCATTTAAATTCTGCCGCGATCGAATTACTGTTATTAACTATGCTCGAGGTAGCATTACTTCGACGTGGATTTAATTGAAATACATTGGATACATCAGCGCCGCTGCGTTGCGAAACATCATTTCCGATTATTAATTAATTATTTTCTATATCCTTAAACCGTCATCCAGGTTTTCTAACAATGGTAGCAATATCTGCTCCTTTTTTACCATCGGTTTATTTGCCAATTATAAAAAAGAGAATGATACATGAATAATGCAAGAGATTGCAATTTGTTCCAATTAAGATTAAAATTCCATTTGCATTTAATTCGATCAGGGTTGTTCTTTATGTGTAATGTCTTAGTTGAATCAAGTCACGAGTTGGATAGACGGCAGTTTCATCTACAGCACAAGCGAGCCCTGGATCAACACGATGCGGTCCTTTCAAAACGGAACCCTACTGACCGATTCCTCGGGATCCATGCCCATCAGGAATTCCATGCGTGTGCCGCTCTTCAATAATCCTGTTCCGCAGGTCATGAGAATGCTTAGCTCCGAACGACTATTTCGTAAGTACTTAACTTTATTTAAAAAAAAAAACAATTATATAATCTTAGTACGGGTCGATAACATATTCCGGATTATGGAACGCATATGAGTTTTTTGTTTTAAAATTAAGACCACAACTGTAAAATTAATATAAAACAGTCTTTTCAGTTTAAAATTAATATGTGTATGTATATTATTGATGAAATTTTGCGAAAATAGTAAGATTACGTTCAAAATGTCTTTAGTTCCCTTATTTGTTTGTTCTTCATCTGGAAATTAAACAATTTTAAATAAATAGATATGTTTTATAAAGTAAGATTGGATTAGAACAAAACATAATTTATTTGTGTTTTCAATAGCTATACATATTTCAAACATGAAAATGGTATATATTTTCTTTTCCAATCTGGTCTGAAAAAATATATTGCGCCATTATTGTTTTCCGTTTGATTCATTTCAGGTTGAATTAACTATATGAACATTATTGTATCCCTTTGCACTGGCAATAGGACAAAACTTACTTAAATATCTACGGAATTATTGCACTAGTATGCTCGGTCATATTAACTTTAAGAAGCCTTGATTTATAGATTTAATTATATAGTAGTTCAGAATGTGATGAATAAATAGAATCATAATAATTTGCAATGTCGTAATTTAAGTGTAGCCATTAAATGTTTACAATTCGTCCGTACATGGGACTGCAAGGATATAATCGATTTTCTCGAACTTTCAAAAAGCAAAAATTCGCAAAAGAAAAATGCACGTCCATTACTTTCTATGGGTGGTTCTTCGGCCGATCTCGCAACAGCTACCTAGGAATACGTCGAGTAATGCTTTCGATCGAAATCGAGAAGTTCGATCAAGTGGCTTTGCCACCTTTGTGCACGACTGTTGGTCAGAGACTCCTGCGACTCACGATTGCGTGACCCCAGTCAGATCCAGGATGAAATTGCGACGGGTATTTCACGACTCGTTTTAATTAATTAAAAAGCGCGCGCAGGATTTTGAAACCCAGCGGGATTTCAGTGCCGATAAAACGTTTCGCTAATTAAAAGATTCCAAGTCACTCGCAACGACAGCAATTATGCAACATGCCGTGTTATTCAAATGTGCCGCTCAAATGACCCAATTCAGTTTACATCCGCGATTTGGTCTTCGATGTTGCTCATAATAACACGTGAGAGATGTCTGTTGCTCAATGTCCTGGTAAAATCTAACTACGGACGCATCTCTGCTTCAACTAGCGATTCTTCTGTCAGATTATTTTGTAAATAATAAACACCGGTTTATATGTTCACTGTGCGTACAATTATTACTGTCATAATCAGATTTTCCTTTTCTGAATTGTGTAAAACTACGCGCGAAACAATGCACATACATACACTGAAACAATTTAGAAATTTCCTTTACAATTGAGCACAAATACCCATCATTGTTACTCTCTCCTCTGAATCAAATAACAACAATCTGTATACATAATAACAAACATTTTTTTATCAAAGAGTTATACACTACAAAAAATAGATTTATTTTTATGTAGCATTTAAACATTTATATTAGATAGTATGGATAGTAGTGGAAAACGGAGGAGATTTACTAAAGTAACAACTAACACATAATACAAATGACCGAAGAATGTTAAGCCGTAATATTAGGAATAAGTATTTAGAATTTAAATAAATTAGTATATATATTTTTAATGTCTGTTAAACTATTTTGAAACATTTCAATACACACAAAAGGAATTTGTCTAGGATTTACATTTTAATCTCATATTTGAATATACAAAAAAGTCTAGTCTTCTATTGATAGTTTGGCTCATTTAAATTGCATTTCATAAATGTTAAAAAAAATGTGTATACTAAATACTCTTCACATTTTATAACTACGGATGTGCTATGAGGGAATTTATAAAACTGTGGGAAAATATATTCAATTGTATGTAAGATCTAAAATGAGTGAATTTCTTAATGATGTTCCTGCCTAATTTATGTGCCGTCTTTGTTTTTACTTGTTTAATTATTACTAACTTATATAAATATTCACATTACAAATATAATTATGTTCTTTTTTATTCATTTTCTCGTCAATAAAATGTTCTGGTTTAAACCTGTGTAAATTATATTTTACATTCTAAATTCTCTCATCAAAAACTTGTTGCAATTTGTTTTAGTCTTTTATTTGACACCTTTTAGCTTAGCAATATTTTATTCGGCAATCGACACATAATTGAAAAACATTCAATAATATTTTCTCAAATTTATTATCTATCGAATTTTTAATATTATTTTCTCCAGTTGAAAAATTGGTTTTATTTGAATATATTATTACTGATTAATTACCGGTTTAGAAAAAAATATTTATTGTTGTATTTTCAATCGATTCTCATTTATTTTTCGATAGAATTAATAATTGGTATTTTTAAATATTTCTATTGATTATACAATTCAATTTGCTAATACATTTATCATAATGACATAATATTATTACTCATTTATTATTGTTGTATAATTAATTTACTAACAATTGTTTATTTGAGAAACTTAGACAAATAAAATAATATATGAACAATATTTTTCAATCAATAAAAACTATATTTCTTTCAATAAAAAAAAATACATTATGTTACGATTAAATATTATTATAAATAATAATAATATTTATTGTAATTTATTTATAAAATAAAAATAACAAATTGATCTGCTACAATACTATAAGTAATTCATTACATTATATTACAATTTTGCATAATGAACTTTTTAAATAAAAAGTTATTTTTAATTAGAAATAACAATTAGCCTATGACATCAGTATAATTATGAATAGTTTTTAATATCCTATTTGTCTCTGTCATGAACGAAAATCAATGTATATGGTTATGATTGTAGTACTGGGTGATCCAAGAACGAATCAAAATCCCGCTATTCTCACACTAAGTATTCTGTTCTTCCGCTGGCATAATGTGGTGGCAAGTAGAGTACAAAATCAACATCCAGATTGGTCCGATGAAGATGTCTTCCAAAGGGCCAGAAGAATTGTTATTGCATCAATTCAAGTAAGGCGAACTTGAAATAAATCAGTCTTTAGTAATTAGCGGATTATATTTTTTATTTTCTTTTTTGTAGAATATTATATTTTACGAATACCTTCCTGCTTTCTTGGGACAAGAAATGCCCGAATACGAAGGTTACAAGCAAGAGGTCCATCCAGGTGTCACACACGTCTTCCAAACTTCGGCGTTCCGTTTCGGACATTCCCTCATTCCTCCAGGTCTCTATCGCAGAGATGGAAAGTGCAAGTTTAAGAAAACATCCATGGGTCACCTTGCAATTCGTCTTTGTTCGACTTGGTGGGATTCAAATGTACGTCTGACTTAATTAATTTCTATGTACATTTTAAAGTCATATCATTGGTATATTTAGGATGTCCTTAGCAATAATTCGCTTGAGGAATTGCTGATGGGTATGACCTCTCAGCTAGCAGAACGGGAAGATAGTGTACTTTGCTCTGACGTCAGAGATAAACTATTCGGGCCTATGGAGTTTTCACGAAGAGATTTGGGTGCCCTGAACATAATGAGGGGTAGGGACAATGGATTACCCGATTACAATACAATTAGGGCGCAATACAAGTTGCCCAAGAAAACGGAATGGAACGACATCAATCCGAAGTTATTCGAGGCCAGACCAGAAATATTGAGGGTGCTTGTAGCAGCTTACAATAACGATATCAATAATGTAGACGTTTACATTGGTGGTATGTTGGAGAGCTACGGCAAACCAGGTGAATTGTTTACGACCGTCATCATCGAGCAATTCAATAGAATTCGCGAATCCGATCGGTTTTGGTTTGAAAATAAAGACAATGGGTAATTTAGAAATTGAATTTAATTCAAACTACTTTTATTTTTACATTTTTGTCTTTACATGTTTAGTATGTTCACTGACCAAGAAATTACCGAGTTAAAAAAGATTACGCTGTGGGATGTAATCGTAAATAGTACGGACATTAAACCAAATGAAATCCAGAACAACGTGTTCTTTTGGAAAGAAGGAGATCCGTGCCCTCAGCCGATGCAATTAAACGCCTCCCAATTGGAGCCCTGTAAAGTGCTAAGCGGTTACGATTATTTCGAAGTATATACAAATCATTATAAACGATTTTTGATTGCTAATGTATAATTATTTTATAGGGTAACGAATTAGTATACATTTATGCTTGCGTATTTCTGGGATTCGTTCCGATCCTCTGTGCCGGCGCCGGTTACGGAGTAGTGAAGCTACAAAATCGCCGTAGAAGGCGCCTAAAAATACGCCAAGAGGAATTAAGACATACGGCCGATGGAAAACTACCGGTGGACACGATGGTCGTCCAGGAATGGCTGCACGCAAACCATAAGCGTCTGGTGAAAGTTAAGTTCGGACCGGAAGTTGCGATTCACATTGTCGGCCGCAAAGGCGAAAAGTTACGAACCGTTAACTTCAAGACAGTCGACATGGTCACGATCGAAGAATCCCTGGAAATCACGACTAAAAAGAAACCGTTGATCTTAGTCAGGGTGCCCAGGGATCACGACCTGGTCTTAGAGTTCGAATCCATCGGTTCAAGGAAAAAGTTTATTATGAAGCTAGAAGTGTTCCTAAATTCAAACAAGAAGAACCTTAATTGCATACAAGTATGAATCCAAAACATGCGATCCATTTCAATATCTACATTTTTAAATGATTTTTTGTACAGGTTGTCCGGGAGATAATGTTGGCTAAAGCAGAGACGCGAGAGCGAAGACAAAAGAAATTGGAGCATTTCTTCAGGGAGGCCTACGCCCTGACCTTCGGTTTGAGACCGGGCGAACGGCGCCGACGATCCGACGCTAGCATCGATGGAGAAGTCGTGACCGTGATGCGCACCTCGCTTTCCACGAGCGAATTTGCAAGTGCTTTAGGAATGAAAGCGGATGCTGTCTTTGTGAAGAAAATGTTTAACATTGTCGATAAGGATGGGGACGGTCGCATCTCATTTCAAGTGAGTCTAATTACTCACTCATTGAGTTACTTCATTAAACACCTTCTTTTGTTTAGGAATTCTTGGACACTGTAGTGTTGTTTTCGCGTGGTAAGACTGAGGATAAATTGAGGATTATCTTCGACATGTGCGACAACGACCGGAACGGGGTTATCGACAAGGGCGAACTCTTCGAAATGCTGCGATCTCTCGTAGAAATTGCTAGAACTACTAGTCTGTCCGATGATCATGTCACCGAATTAATCGATGGAATGTTTCAAGTAATAATGAATAAATAATCCTCGTCAAGGAAAGAATGCAAATATTCATTTACATATTTTCAGGATGCCGGACTGCAACACAAAGACTTCCTCACCTACAACGACTTCAAAGAAATGATGAAGGAATACAAGGGAGACTTTGTTGCTATTGGTTTAGATTGTAAGGGAGCTAAGCAAAACTTCTTGGATACTTCCACCAATGTTGCTAGGTAATTTATGATTAATATTAATTGATATTCACGTATTTCATTTTGTTTACTTTTAGAATGACTAGCTTCCATATAGATCCACCAACAGACACTGAGAAAAACTACATAAAGTTAAAATGGAATCACCTAACTACATTTTTGGAAGAAAACAGGCAGAATATATTCTATCTCTTCGTGTTTTACGTGATTACAATTGCGCTCTTTGTAGAACGATTCATACGTAAGTTTACTAAATAGTATTATTTGTACATTAATATTTCACATATATTATTGCTTTTTAGATTATTCTTTTATGGCTGAACATACAGATCTGAGACATATTATGGGCGTTGGTATTGCAATAACCCGTGGTTCAGCCGCCTCTTTATCTTTCTGTTACAGTATTCTATTACTGACTATGTCCAGAAATCTCTTAACCAAGTTGAAGGAATTTTCGATACAACAGTACATACCTTTGGATGCGCACATTCAGTTCCACAAGATAGCCGCATGCACTGCTCTATTTTTCTCACTGCTTCACACGGTTGGGCATATTGTGAACTTTTATCATGTCTCAACCCAACCGGTGGAAAATCTGAAATGCTTGACCAGCGAAGTCCGGTTTCCATCAGACTATAAACCAGGCATAGCATTTTGGCTTTTCCAGACGATTACAGGTAATGCATTAAAGACTATAATTCTATGTTGCGCGATGTGGAGTATAATTTCGATTTCGACTTTTTAGGTGCGACCGGCGTTCTGCTCTTCATAATAATGAGTATAATTTTTGTCTTCGCCCATCCATTAATCAGGAAAAAGGCGTATAAATTTTTTTGGTCGACACACAGTCTTTACATCCTCCTGTACGCGCTTTGCTTAATTCACGGGTTGGCTAGGCTTACCGGCGCTCCAAGGTTTTGGATGTTCTTCGTCGGTCCAGGAATTGTCTTCGCTTTAGACAAGGTAAGAACGTTATAATTTATATGCATCAATTATTCTTACATAGAAATCTCGTTACTGTTACAGATTGTTAGTTTGAGGACTAAATACATTCCACTGGATGTAATCGAAACGGAACTCTTGCCATCGGACGTGATCAAAATCAAGTTTTACCGTCCGCCCAATCTGAAATATCTTTCCGGCCAGTGGGTCAGACTCGCGTGTAACACCTTCAAAACCAGCGAATTCCATTCTTTCACATTAACATCGGCGCCGCACGAAAATTTCCTGTCGTGTCACATCAAGGCCCAAGGTCCATGGACCTGGAACTTGCGAAACTACTTTGACCCTTGCAACTTTAACCCCGAAGATCAGCCCAAAATCCTGTTGGAGGGGCCTTTCGGCGGCGGCAATCAAGATTGGTACAAGTTCGAGGTGGCAGTAATGGTTGGTGGCGGAATAGGTGTTACACCGTACGCTTCCATCTTGAACGATCTTGTTTTCGGCACGTCCACCAATCGATACTCGGGTGTTTCCTGCAAAAAGGTCTACTTCTTGTGGATTTGTCCCTCGCATAAACACTTTGAATGGTTCATAGATGTACTAAGAGACGTAGAGAAGAAAGATGTCACCAACGTGCTGGAAATACACATATTCATTACGCAGTTCTTCCATAAATTCGATCTGCGTACAACAATGCTTGTAAGTTTAGTACTCAGTATTCGTACTCAGAACACATACTATGTAATTATTCAATTTCTTATTTGCTTTTAGTATATTTGCGAAAATCACTTCCAACGTCTAGCCAAGACTTCAATGTTCACAGGACTCAAAGCAGTCAATCATTTTGGAAGACCAGACATGTCTTCCTTCTTGAAATTTGTCCAAAAAAAACACAGTTATGTAAGTTATAATCTTTACAAAGTTGGAAACTCGTATAATTATTCCATATTCATATTTCACAGGTGAGCAAAATCGGTGTCTTTAGCTGCGGTCCACGTCCGTTGACTAAGAGTGTTATGTCAGCGTGCGACGAGGTGAACAAAGGCCGGAAGCTGCCTTACTTTATTCACCACTTCGAGAACTTCGGTTAAACATTTTTAATCCTAGTAAAAATATATTACATTTTAATATATGTATTTATTACCATCCGTCATGTTCTCTATTTAAGATATATGTAGAATCTGTATTTTTTTACTATCTTTTCTCAAATTATTTGCAAACAAAAAAAAACATTTTGTATATATGTATAATAATTAGCTCAATTAATATATTTATGCTATACAATTATTATTATTCTGTGTTGATTGTACTTGAATAAAGCGAGTGAATCATATTTGTATTATTTTTTGCTTCGTTAATGCGACACTAGAATTCCATATGTAATTAAGGTCAAGGCGGGTATGCAGACAGGTAACTAATTACAAGTGTACACTTACTAATGTACTTTTTATTGCATTTAATAGATACACTTCCCGTACAATAAGACGGAATACCGATTGACACAATTCTTGATTATCTCCATTATTTCAAATATTTGTATGTATAATATATTGTAAAAATGTTTTCAATTACTTCAAAAGAATATCTGTTGTCATTGTCAATACGATTATATATTTTTTTAATTTAAAATATACATATATTTACAACCATTTTCTACCATTCTTCTTGTTTTCCACCACCACTGTTCTGACTTAGCCTGTACGCGTACAATTTCACCAGTTCTACTATTTTATTCTATCTTTTCACTATGAATTTTGCAAAGATGATAATTTAAAAAAAATCCTTACTTGGCGCCATCTTTTAATCATTATAATAAGATTATAGTTTACTTGATTTGACACTCTTAACATTAAACATATTAGATTTAAATACAAATATTGGTTATATATTTATTTTTATATATTTTTAAATTTGTTAACTAATAATAGAAAAATATAAGACAATTATAATTAAAAAAATATTATTTATAAATCTGGTGTTAAATTTAGATACAAAAGTATATTTTGGAACATCTTGCGAACCACCATTGCATTTTATTAGAGTAGCAACCAAAGTAATATCTTCATATAATTCGATTTCAAATGTTTCAAATTAGTTAAAATTTCCAAAGTGAATATAATACAATATCTAAGGTTGCAAACTCCAAATCCCATACGAAAAAAAATTTACTTCAGTTTATTTTAAAAATATAACAATAAATCCTTACCAATTAGTAGAGCACCTTGAAATTTTTATTGTATACTAAATTTACTTAAATTTTATTTAAATTTCAGTCATATAAGTTCCCAAATTACAAAATCCTTGAATTGGACTTCCTCATAGTTTCTCAATGCCGAAATGCAACTTCTCCGAAATCCACATCCGGCACAGTAACTCAGCAAAATCCTTCAGAAATATTATACTTTTATATTATTAATAATAAAAATATCTTCTATTATATCTTTATATTAATATTTATGCTAAGAAAAATCCAAAATTTATATTTGAAAATCCTATAATTACTTGCTATATAGTTTTATATTGTATTTAATATTATCATTATCGTAAATAACACAGTCCACATGTTAGAGACATTTCTGTCAAATTTTCTGATGACAGGTGACAAATGTCAACTATTTAATAAATAAAACTTAAATATAAATGGTGAAAATATTTACTGTTAATAATGTATATACGGTTAACACGACTTGTTTAAAATTCATACAAATTGAGTTCAATATTAACTCAATTTGTATGAACATAGTAAAATGTACGATAATAAAACACTTTCCTTTATGTACCATTACCTTTCGGATGATAGAAGAGCTTAGAAGTGTTAGAGTTTCTTCTGTTCTGAGTCTAATTATCGTGCAAGTAGTGAAATTTGTTAAACATTATTTAAAATCCGTGAATTGTGAAAGTTCCTGGTACGTGCACATCTTCGTTTCCATTTCAGTTAGTTGCAATTAGCAGGTAAGTCAAATAACTAATGCCAACTTTAATTAATGTTTCCCCGAACTCTAAACAAAATACTGTAATTAGTGGAAGCACCTCGGCGCGCTGATTTATCGCACATCCCCGCTTGCTCCTACCGAATTACGCAATACCGTTTCAATTAATTAATTAATAACTAAATTTATTCTATCCGCCTTATTTAGTGCACCTACAGAAATCGTAAATCATTGAGGCTACAGAAAAAAAAATAGGCAAACAAATCATTATCACGGCGTGTGTTTGTATTTGCATACGAATTGACCGGATATGCTTGTTTAATTATAATCTCGTTCTTCATTTCTCGCGGTCTTCTTTATATTAATTGATTCTGACTTTCACCAAAACCAATAGAATCCTGCATGTGACGCGATCTTAAATTATCAACGGAAGATACATTTTTAATTACTACTTATCTAATTCTAAGAATTCCATAAATTGCGATTATAAAATTAATCAACTTAATCTAAGTCATAAAATTCTAAGTATTAATTAAAATTTAAACTAAACTGAGTTAGATTTATCGGATAGAGATATATTTTTGTAGATCTGTGATATTTTTCACTAAAGTTCAAAATTTCGCTCGGAAACTATTTTCATTTGTATTTCGTTTGCTATGATGGGTACATTCCATTGTGCGTTAATGGTTGTGTAAATATGTAAATAAGTGGATTGTTATACAATGATAGTTCTAAATATACTTCTATTACCCAATAGAACACTAATTGGATATCTCTATTAATCTCGTTTTTCCTTGTCATTTGATCCGTTTTCACCAAATCCTCACTTTGACAGCTGTCATTTGCGATCCAATCATAATTTAACGCGACCCAATTATGGGTCGCAGCACATAGGTTGAGAGACACTGCTCTAAAATATATAAAAAAAATAACATAGCCTCAATAGTTAACGATATGAAATAGTAAGAATACCAAAAATAAAATGGAAATCTTTATATATTTTTTGATTTTCTTTGATCTCTACCGCCTCGAAGTAAAAAACAACCATAAAAATTGAATATTTGTTAGCCTATGTAACTCAATGTTTTAATATCTTTCTGTGTTGACAGTGTTTTCAAGGTTGCAAAATTATGTTGCTCAAAAACATCGTATGCGGGCGATCCAGTAGATTCTTTCATTGTATTTATATAATTGTGGACACATCAGAAAGATTCAAAAGGATAGACTCTTCATTTTGTCTAAATATAAAATGATATTTGATTTAATTGTGGTAGAAAAGAGAAGAAATATTACTTGAGTACACATGAAAATATCTTGAAATATACTATATTATTAATTAAACCGGCAGAAAGACGTATGGCCAATAGCCCTTTGCAACATTTGTTTTTTGTATTCAGTTTTTTTATTTCGTAATTTATAAAACATAAATGAGAACATTTAAAAATTGAAGATGTTACAAATCAAGAGATTAAATATGTATTAAATGTATAAGATTTGTATGTTGTATGTATCAATTCAATATTAGAAAACAACTTGTTAAAGACGGCAAATAAAATGTAGACAATAGGAATTTCCTGCCGAAAAATGTTAACAATTAAAGACTTAAAACATATGTTTAAATTACATTAACAACTTATTTTATGTGAGATTTAGTAAGAAGTTAAACGATCAGTATTAAATACAATAACTCCGTATAAATCATTATTAAATGAAAGAGAAAAAAGACTTTATATATAAGTTGAATATTTAGTTAACAAAACTTTTCTTTGTTCGAACAGAAGCTTTTCATTTTTTTACGAAGGAATTGTGTTTTGCTTAACGAAGTAATTTCCTATTTGTTAATGGAGTACATGTAGAAATTACAAGATCTCATTTGAGTTTATAAAAATTTATTTATTTAAACAATTAATGGTTATGTAAGAATCTTTAAAATGTTCAGTATTATTTATAAGAAGACGAAAAGTCAATTATGTATAAATTACTATATTATTAAACTGATGCCTGTATATTTAAATTCGATGAGTTTATTACTTGATAAAATGTTATTATTATAGTTATTATGATTTTAATAATTTATGTAAGGCATAAATATCAAAGTTTTCATTATATCATACAATAAACTGTAGAAAATAAATTTAATTTATTTATAGATATTAAAAATAGATTATTTTAATATTTATATATTTTTTATTCATGAAGTTGTTTCTAAGTGGGCTTCGATTGATTACAAAATTATAGTATAGTCAATATTTAATCATGTGAGTGAATTAATAAACACTTATTTATTACTTAATATAATTTAATATCTAATTTGTTAATGTTTTTTTATTATTGTAATCATAATTTCAGCACGATTTAATTGTATAATCAACGCGTAATGCGGCTTCTCTTTAAGTCGGATAGTAGTAACCGCTTTTTCAATATAGCAAATGACAGATATTTAATTGACAATTTCCTATTTGCAGAAGTTGAGTAAATGCAATAACAACAAGCGCAGGAACAGAGGAACGAGGAACAGAAATTACCAGCGTAGTTTATTCTATGGAATTCGCCGACTTTCCCCGAAGTTCTGCCTCGTTCAGAGGAGGCAACAGAATCGCTCTCCGAGAAGGTTTCACCTGTATATATTTAAAGTGTTTTTACCTTTGGCGGGCGTCGGTGGTCTCGGCGTAGTTCATCAAGGTCTTGTACTTGATCCATATTCCTCCGAAAGTGTCCGACGTGCGAAAACTAAGAGTGGTGGAAGAGAGGAGAAGAAGAAGTAGAAAATAAAAGACGTGGACGCGAACTTGGAAAAGGTCACCAAGAGAACACCTGCGCTCGCCGGGTTCACTTCCTTCCGCGTGTGCGAAACTCTTCGTGGCCGAGGCTATCAATCAATAAGCTTCCGTTGTTATTGGGATTTTCTTTTCCTGTTTATTTTTATTTTGCTTTTCATTTATCTCTCGTACCTTACACAAACTTTCACCCGTTGAGAAGAGTGAGCAGTGGAAGTGAAAAGAAGCGCGATTAGCTTCCGCCTTCCGGGAAAATCGGATGCGATTGGCGAGATATATTTATGATGCCTGACGTCATGCAGAGACCATCCAACACGCCAATGATATGATGATATATATGTTCTAGAAACACACTCGAATATATACATATTATAACACATTTATCATACATCCAGGTAAACTTTCGAATCTCCAATCCATTTAACTTTAAACATCTTCTATCTATCTTTGTTGGCGCATCGGCAATGTTCGTGTTTATTCCTTTTGTAGCCTCAAATCATCAAGGCAG